TTATAGATGTGCAAATTGCTATTTTCCTTCTTTATCTGAATTCCAGGTCTGAGTGCTATTCAAGGAGGGCCATTAGCTGACTTTCTGGATCAGCTCCTCCAATCTCCGGAATCAGAGCAAAAAGACCAGTTCGTCCGGGGACTGGAAAAGACAGGGCTGATTCAGGTACATCTTTGATTTTATAGTGTTTGCCTGCTGGTTACTAATGTCTCTAAATTATGAGATTTCCCGCTTTTAATAATATTAAATTATTTAAGACTCGTTTTACCGTGAATTATTCACAACGCACTTTTAATCGTTAAATTCCGAAAGCCCAATAGTGCAAAATAAAAAAAATAAATAAAATAACTAAATTTACAAAATAAAGAACGAAATTATTTAATGAAAAAAAAATTACAAAATGAAAAACGAAATTATTTAAAATAAAAAACGAAATTACAAGATTAAAAACCGAAATAAAATACGGAATTTAGATGTGCATGGTAAGGAAGTGAACCCAATTCCAAATTCCAAAAAGCCCATGTGTTGTAAAGCATTATACTATAGACCTGATTTTGTTGCGACATTAATACAAGTGTGAAAACTTCTGCATATACACTCAGCTATTCCCGTATCAATAACATAACTAGATGGATCGAGTAGACGGTCACAATAGGGGAGATATCTAATATGCTTAGACCTATGTTTTTTTTTGTTTTGTTTTGTTTTGTTTTGTTTTTTTGTTTTTTGTTTTTGTTTTTTTTTTACATTAATGTGAAGTTTGTCCAGTCAGATGAATTGGCCAGTGATTCTAGAAAAGACGATGACAAGTTAACATTAGCTCTCTTAAACCCTCAGCTTAAAAGGTCTAAATATCAACAATGAATCTGGACATGAAACATCAAAGAGATTATGCTAATAAATTGACCAAATATTTAAGATAAACAAGTCCGTCTATTTATTAAGATTTTGCTGTGTACAACTGCTGAACTTTATAACATTTGGGAAATTCCCATGGCCATAAACGTCGATCATTTGTCAAATTTATCGCACAGCACAATAATGCTGTAAAATAACACGTTACCGATCGGATTTTGCGGGTTTGTTTGGCATTATTAAAAAGGGTTGAAGAAAATAAGTGCAAAAATTAAATAAGTTTAAGTGTTACAATTAGATTTTTTAAATGATTGCTTACTTCATTAAAAAAATTAGCAAAACACTTCTATAGCTAATTTCTTGGTCATTTTATAAAAGCTTAAATAGAAGTGAAGCACCATAACTATATGTTCTCTCATATTTTAAATAATGTATTCTCAATCTGTGTTAGTTGTGAACAAACAATGCACACACTTGTATAAAAAATCCCCACAAAGTTATCAAGTCATTCTCGTTATTGTTGCAGCAACCCAAGATTTATGGTACACTGATAGGGCGCTAGGTTAAGTTTGGAGAAAATTCAGTAATAAAAAAAAATATGTAGTCTGGGTCATATTACGGGGAGGAGCTATTTAAAATCAATTAAATTTTTTTTCTTCGGCGTACCATGAGCTAGCCCACGTAGGTTGCTGTCATATCTATTTATGTGACTCCACTCCAGATTGAATCACAAGCATGTCGCTTCGCTAACAGATTACCTTGCCAAAAAAAATAAATAAATAAATAAATAAAATAAAATCACTGTTTGGATGCGGACAAGGATATAATTTATATTCCAATTCCATATTGAAATAGGAATATTTATAAAAACATAGTTGCATTAGTAAGAAATGTCTTTCTCGTCAAAAAACATTTCAACTGGCTTCTTCCCGTTGAATCCTTGTGGGGTTTTTTATGAGTCCATAAAAAATGCACATCACTGAAACCTGTGAACGATGTGGAATCAATAGCGCGTTAGAAATACATGTGCGTTATAATTCAATGATAGTTCAAAAAATTTACAATTCAAAGCTTACATTTATTTATAGATGTTTATTCAACTAATTATATTGAATGCTTTTTAAATACTGATTTAATTCCTGGTAGTTTGATTACATGTCGTTCTTTGAATATACAGATTATGCCTTTTTAAATGATGCTGGTACATGTCCTTAGAAAAAAAAACATTAGTATATACATAAAACAATGTTTTATAGTTGATGAAGAACCCTCGAGTTCCTTTTTCGAAGGATTGAAAATATTGTACTCACCGTACAAAAGTTTATCAAAACATTCGACGTCAAGTTCAGCGAGGAAGGGACTAATATGAGGAGAGTTGAAGAAACAATATATAGACAATTCCTCAAATACGTCAGAGATGTCTACGGTACGTACTGCAGTGTTCAGTGATTCTCTGACGGAAAAAAAAGAAGAGTTCGAATTTATCCGCAGTTGTTAGGTTTCCGAATAAACAATGCACCTAAAAATTATGTTACTTTTTGTTTATCATATTAAAGTAAAAATGTTAATTTAAAGGTATAATTTTTTTTCAGCTGGAAGACGGGGTGACAAGGTCAGTCTGGAAAACATTCTAGCTTTTGTAACAGGAACAAGAGAAATACCTTTGTTGGGATATGGTATACAGGCAACAATTGTGTTCCAACTGGAAGAGGGGCGGTTTCCAACCGCGACAACATGTATAAATAGACTATTGCTTCCTTCGGAAGTTAACTTTGAAATTTACGATTTGGCATTTGTTAACACCCATTTTGGGTTAAACTAGTCATACATCATGCATGTGTAAGACACGAATCGAAAACATCTTACTTAGGTCAGATTTATCAGCGACCCGCACAACTATCTCACACTGGAAAAACGTAAAATCTTGACAGATTTAATTCATACAACACGAAATGCTTACCCACCTTTTTCTTAAAATAATAAAGTTGTCATCAACTGATATCTTGAGTGATAAACTTATTGAACGTATTTCTGCTGGCATACTATATAATAGTCCAAACTATTTTAAAACTCTAATTATTTGTCAAAAAAGAATCAATTGATGCAGATTACCAGATTTTACTGCCACCAAGATAATCCTTGTGATATAGAAATCTGGTAATATCATAAGAGAAATTTAATGTCAATGTTATAATAGCTTTCCGTACTATATATGTTATTGATAAACAGACGTATAAATATTTTATTTAACGTTTTGTTTCTTTGATTATGTAACAATCAGATAATAATTTGAGGTGATCCGTCTCTTACCAGTTAAACATGTACTTTTCTGCTGTAGATATCTAATTAAATCTGTCAGGACTTTATGGGTCAGCAGTGCCCGATCAATGATAAGTCGATGTTTTAATTTCACTCAGCCTCTTTTCCAACAAAATAAAATCAAAGCAAAAGCTGTCCCCTCAGTTGACATTTTGAGGTTATTGGTTTTTATCATTCCTTAATTATATTCAATTTTCATTTCTCGTTTCTCTCTTCGTGTTTTACACATACCCTACATATGCATGTCAGACTGGTTTTAATTAAAATATCGCGTGTTTATCCTTTTGTCGACCAAGCAACAAAAATTGACCCTACGCTAAGGTTTATATTCCTCTTTTCATTGGAATTTTTATTTTATGCCCCCATAATCAAAGAATTCGGGGCATATAGTTTTTGGTCTGTCTGTCCGCAAAAACTATAACCATCCCATATTTATAACTTTGGTTGGGGTTAAGGCTTTCATGTTTCACATGTGTATTCCTTGTGAAAAGGCCTTTTTTACGTACCAATAATTTTAACGTCTTGACCTTGGAGTTTGACGTACATAAAAAAAATTAAAATTGGTGTTGATTTACCATACAGGGGCATTAGTGTTTCACAAACACTTCGTATTTCATGTCATATATGTTTTCATCGGGTTGATTTTATTTTAGATAGGTCATTCAGTCAGCCTTGTGATGACGAGTGATTTATAGTAATGATAAATTTTAATGATAATACGTTGCATGTATCTTTTTAAAAAATCCTACCTATCTTTCTGTTGTTAAAAGACTGTGTCGAAAAAGGAGAAACAGACTTTTTTTTTAAATTATATTACAGATTTTGGTCGAAAACTTGCGCCAAAGGGCCCAAATGACAATGTGGTTGTAAACTCTGCATAATATCATCTTCAACCTCTCATCGAATACATTGTGTTTTTCATCTGTAATATTTTTTTTTCAAGTTGAAACAATGACCCAGATGTTATAAAGGGGCAATGATTGGGACTAAGAAAAACTAAAATATGAAGCATGAGGAAAACGTGTTAATGTTCAACTATGACAGGGTTCTGAACGTTCATTGTGTTAGATTTTTCAGAGAATTATCTTTAAAAAAATTAATGTATTTCTTTAAAAAAAATTGCCAGGGTGCAAATACTTCCCTGGGACAGGCCCTGTTTTTAAGTACAAAAATAACTAATTAGCTTAAACAATTTAAGACCTTATCCTCAAAACATGAACATTGTAGTTCCTTTTCACCTATGAAGAATCTCTCTTGTGACATCTTTTTCGTATAACTACATGTATATGGTCTTTATTTCCGAATTATTGTATGCTGTACAAAATGACTGCAATTTGTTCTTTTAATATTTCCGAATTATTTTTTTATTTGTGGTGAAATTTTGAAATAAAATTTTTAATACTTTCCTAAATATATTCAAGTTCAGGTTTTTGTGTTCGTTCATGATTGTAATGGTAAGCGACATTATATACTATGACAATGTATTTTTTCCAATGCAAATTGCATGTATACAATAATCGTCAATAGTATAAAAATTTTGTAGAAATGAACTGCTAAAGAGGCCTGTGTTTCTCTAGGTCTATATCATAATGAAAAGAATTCTGTGTTGGAGTATATTCTGACATTCCCGAATTTTTATCAATACACCTTGAAAGAACACGGTGGTTAACATTTTCCTATTCCTTTCCTTTTTTTCTTCTCTGTACAACATGGGTCTAAAGAGGTGTTGTGCCCTCTTATTATTATTATCAGTTTTTATTTTGCATCCCACGGAAATTTAAAAAAAAAGAAAAAAAACAAACACCAGGAAAAAGTTGAAAATAGGATTAATTCACATTATTTTCAACCAGTTCAAAATATTGCTCAAGTGCTTCTTGCAAGGAAGTTGCATCACTCCACCCTTTTCGTCCAAACAAAGCATTAGAATAATTGTCAAATTCCAAAGATCCACTTCTAGTTGGAACCTTGCACTGCAGTTTGCTGAAGTTAATATCTTCTTCAGAAACGGGGTGAATGCAATCAGAGAATCCTGTAAATATCAACATACATGTATTTAAATTGCACCTAGTTTTGAAAAGGTAAAGAATTGGGACGGTTTGATACTTAATTAACAAGCACATACCCTATCCGCTTTCACTGTGTTTAAGAATTTCAACTGCATTTTTTTTTTAATTTTCAGTGTGAATGTCGAGGGAAGTGACTTGATAGCATTTTTTTTTACCTAATTTATGTGCATTTTTTTCACATTAATGGCAAGTAAAAACCCTCTTTTAGAAGAGGTTATTTTATGCATGAACTTCAAGCATTAAGTGTAGTACCCTTTTCCTCTGGCAGTATATAAAGTACATTTGGACGACCATGTGGACAAGTAGATTGTCTGTTGTATGCTATTGAGTGATTGTTCCATTGCTCTTTTACCGCATCCAGGGCGTTTTGTAGAACTGGCATAAAGCAAAATCGCAATGAATACCTGGAAACATAATTATGTAGAGCATTTACTATATAACCTCTTCTCAACATTATTATTCCGTATATGTTTAAGTCAATGAGCATAAAGAATATTATTTGCCAATTCTTACACATCATTTATCACATCTTTACGAAAGAAACCATCAGTCTCCAATTCCTTGAAAAAAGAGATCCACCATTCCATTTCATGCCGGCGCATCATGCTCCACCATGCCTCAATTCTCTGTGAAAATAATGTACGTGAATTTCTTGGATATTTGATTTACTTCTGTTTGACAGTTACTTCGGATTGCTCTATTGAGACTTCGGATTTAGTTCTTTTTTTCCTTATTTTTTTTTGTATATCCCACGATATTAGACAGACAATTTCCACAGGAGAAATCCATCAAAATCCTTTCATGTGATATGAAATGTATAAACACATGTACATAAGACAGGTCACTCGAAGGAGATAAAATTCTACCAGGATGCACAGTCTAAGTAATTCTAGATTGTCTTCTATCTCGACAGACTGTAGTACTACATCAAATTCCATATGGTGTGCATGGTGCTTACATCATAGGTATCCAGGTTGAATTTTTCTTGATTTTTTTTTTGGTATGAAATGGACGAGTGGTTTAATGTGATATAGACTGTGTGAATTTTGTTTCTGAACAATGGACATAAAGAAATGATCAAAGCTTTACAATGACGTACAACATAGTTGACCAATCACGCACCTGATTGAAAACTGATCTGGTAACTCGATAACAGTCTCTTGCCGTGGACTGATCTTGTTCTGGATTTCGATACAAACACTGAAGAGCACCCATGGTTATGTTTTCTGTTCCCGGGTCACTTTGTAGTATTCTTGGGCATCCTATTATACATATTATATAATAATGAATTTTCATACAGAATGTATGCATGATTGCAAGTACAGAAACTGAATAGAAAATTTGTAATATTATTTGATACCTCTCAAAGTCGCTACAGTTTGGACAAAATTGCAGGCCACTATCTCTGGATCATTATTAGAAGGCCCTACTTCAAGCCACATAATTTGTCGTGAAAACCTAGGTATTTGTAATTAGAAAAAATGATTACAGCACTGGCGAGTTTCAGACATCGCTATCAAAGAACACTTCCACAAGGTATACCTCCACCTTCACTATCATTTTAATAACGTATCATCTTGAAAAACAACCATACAACTCTCATACAAGAGGCCAATGGGCCACAATGCTTACCTGAACCACTATGGCCCAGCTATTTTTTCACCAGCAGATTTTTTCCCATATTACACTACCTGAGGATGACTCTATATAAATATGACTGACCAGGGCTTCGCTGTTTCTTGAGAAAAACTTTTAAAGGTGTTTCCTTTATACTCTATGTAAACATTTGATCGCCCATTGTGGCCCCACCTTATTCCTGGGGGTCATGATTTGAACAAATTTAAATCTACCCTATCTTAAAATGTTTTCATATAATATGACTAGTCATGGCTTTGCTGTTTATGAGAAAATTATTTTTAGTGATTTACCCCTATAGTTTTATGTAGACATTTTCATCGCACATTCTTGTCCCATGCTACCCACAGGGGGGCATAATTTAAACAAACTGGGATCTATACTCACTACCTGCGGGTGTTTACATATAAAATGACTTACAATGGCGTTGCTGTTCTTGACTAGAAGAATTTTAAATGTTTTGTTTCCTATATACTCCTATGTAAACATCTGATGGCCCATGGGGGGCCCTATCCTACCCCCTGAGTCACAATTTGAACAAACTTGAGTCTGCACTAAGTCAGGAAATTTCAATGTAAGTTTCATATTTTCTGGTTCAGTTACTCGAGAAGATTTTTGTAAGATGCGATGAAATTTAAACTAAGTCCTTATTATCCTTTTATTTGAACAAACTTGAATTCTCTTCACCAAAGGATTCTGGTGGGAAGTTAGCTTGAAATTGGCCCACTGGTATATAATGAAGTCTATTACTGAAGTATATTTTAAGGTCAGGAAGAGAAATGAAGTGCCTGCTGTGCACAGGTCCTTGACAAAAGTCATTGAACAAGTTAAATCAAAATTTGACTTACCCATCTATGCATCCATGAATAGGAAATCCAAACGGTTTTAATTTGTCATATCTGTAAGTGTGCAAATAATTGATTTTAAACAAAGATATTCTTGATTTCTTGAGCATTTCTTCATATTAAAACTCATTATATTTATAAACTGATATACTGACATTACAATGGTTGTGAGCTTTCTTTGAATGAAATATGTGGAGATAACAAACAGTATTCGAGCTCAATATATTTAAATTAGAATGAAGGGATGACAGAAAATGAAAGGTCAATGAACCCCTTAATTGAGAGAAATAACATATAGGGGTGGGGGTTGGGGGATGGAATGGGCGATGATGATTTTGCAAAAGTTGACTGGAGTTGAGGGCAACATTGATTATGTTAGTCTCCAAGGGATGAAATATTGCCCGACGCGGAAGGAGATTTGGAATTTAATCTTATCGATATTAATCAATTTTATATGAACTGACATATCATCTTACCCATCAACATGCCATATATAATTTGGACCCTGTGAATAATATATTTTTCGTTTGATGCGACGGCGTCTTCGAAAATCAACACCGAGTGGGTCAATTCGTCTCATAATTTCCATTACTTTACCTCTGAAATAAAGATAAAATTTTAAAGTGGACTTGATTGCATAAAAATATTTAACTATGCATAAAGTGGCAACTGTTAAAAGCATTATAGAAAACTTAAGGGAACGACTAGTTGATTCTGAAAGGGCCCGGTGGCAATTCTTTTTCGAGTCAGATTATTTACATGTATTTTCATGCCAAACCGAAACTCTAGCCGAGGACATATCGCCAGTCTAGGACAGAAAATTTATTTTCAACATTTTGGAGGAAAAATATTTATTTCCACAATCTGCAAGCCCCTCCCCTTAATAAAAAAACAAAACAAATGGGGGTTCACTAAATGATGAACGTTTGTACACCGTTTTACATCAATGCCAACTTTAAAGGACTAAAACACAGTTATTTATAAGTTCTATAATACAATCATACATATCATAAAGTCAGAAAAGACGTCATAACTCGAGTCTAAATGATTCTTCTTGTACTGATGTTTAAGAGGAAAGCTAGAAAACAAGTTTAAACTTCTTGAAGAAAAGTTTTGCTTCTTGACTAATTGACTACAATATAAATGCTATAAAATCATTATAACTTTACAAAAAATAATGTACCTGCGAACTGGTATATTTAGATGTCTGAGCTTGTCTGTCGTATGTCTATAGCCAACTGTCGGTGGCGAAGATTGTAGCATGTCCTGTAAATTGAAATGCAAGTAGATATAATCAATGTGATATTCAAACTATATTTTTAAAAAATTATATATATATATATATATATATATATATATATATATATATATATATATATATATATATATATACTTCATTTCTTTATTCTAACTTAAAAAAATACATGTACCATATGTATGGTACATTTCTTTTGAAAATTGTTCCATTGCTTTACTTTTTCTGTGCAATTTCTTATACTTCAATTTTCGGTCTGATCAAACAAAGTAAATGAATTCATGGATATAAAAAAAGGATAGTATGATCATAAAATTATTTGACTCAAATACATATGCAAAACATATCTATTTTGACTAACTGTCTGAATGCTGACAAAAAAGGACGTACAAACTCCACGTACTGATATCATGGAGCTTTGTCATGTGATAATGCCGATGTTCTATCAAAATATATGTGAAATGTCCAAAAATCGGGGTGTCATTTGCAACTGCAATAAATGTATTCAAAACAAAATTCACTTCTTCTTAAAAACTTTTACAATTTATTAGTTATTTCAGAACTTTTTATAAAATCATTAATTAATGAATATTCCATGAAAAATGAAAAAAAAAAATAAAACAAATTAAAACTTAATAACAACCATTAAGACAAAGTATAAAGCGAATTTCAAAAACCTTTATTCATGACTTCTATGTTTGTTATCAATAAAGAATTATTTCATCGAGGCACTGAAAAAAGAAATAACGCCTCAATTCCTAACACAACTACAAAAAGATGAGCCGCTCCTACGATCATAGATGGGAGACAATCCATGAAAACTGCATGTATCGTAAAAAGTATGGGATATTGCCATTAAAGTTGCATAATGAGTCAAAACCATGTGTTTCTTTTAAGAAAATTGTATCACAAAACAAAAGATTTCTGTGAAATATGAATATAGCGAAGTTTTGACAACTCAACTGCACTGTAAAGCAAGAAAAAAACTGCAAAATATAAGTGCCGGAAAAACAAATCTATCGCTTTGTTTTTATCGTCAATGTCAACAATGTCAAGGTCACGCGTCCTTTATTTTTAGCGTGAAACTTGTAAACAACATTGAATTCGGGCAAGCAGAAGTAAGGAATAAGTTATGATCATCTTTTTCGAAGATTGTATCAAAATTCTCAGTCATCCGACATTTATATCTATGGAATTGAAACCATGGTAAATTCTTCAACTTTTCAGCGCATGCGTACAATAAAGAGGAAGACATGAAGCAATATTTTTGTGATGGGTTATACCAAGATTTTGTTTACTCTTATTTTTCTCCATTAAATTAGATTTTTTAGGTTCTGAAACCTGTAATTTTCTGAAACCTAATATCTTCAAGAACTGAACAAAATTTGCATCTGTCATGCAAAAATTCTACTGTTGTCAATTTTCCCGTTTGTCCGTCACAGTGTCACTTTCAATAAAATATATCGTATGATATTAATCCAATATTTTAGGTAAATGTATCATAAAAAAAAAATCTTAATAATTTATGGGAACATTATACATGTAAATGAAAAATACCTTTATTTTACGTTCCAGTTCTGCATCACTGTACCCTGTTGATCCTCGCCTTGGTGGATAATCACACCGTCGCAAACGCCTCCCCACCGCGTTAGAGCTTTGAACATAATGCATAATGACATTAGTAAAATGAATAAATCATTAAAGAAAATGTTTAAGCATACGTTATTGTACATGGAGATTCTTAAAATATTATTATTCATATGTACGAATCGAATTTATGCAGGTATGTGTACACATTTAAGGCAAATTCTGCAAATTTTTTTTGTTCTGTTTTGTTTTTTTTTTTTTGTTTTTTTTTGTTTTTTTGTTATTTTGGGTTTGGTGTGTAGATCTAAATTACACATATCTGTTATGTAGCCATATTTCACGAAGCGCAGACATGTATGCTACATATATATACGTGCAAGTCATGCGATTTACATATATATTCATGCTGATGTCTCTTCTTAATTTCTATGCTTGAGTATGTACACCCTCATTCCATTCGATGAATTATATGATGATTATGTTTAAATTATGTTTGTTTATCATGTTTATTATTACTGTTATTTATTTATTTATTTTTGGCAAGCATTGTTGTCATTGTGTAATCACATACATGCATCATTATAGACTTGTTAATTTTGAACCTTTAAGTGTCTTTGAAATATTTTGTGGGTTCTACAATCACTATAATTATAATTGTTATATATATTACACGGAAAGAATTTTCTAAGTTGAAAGAAATTGTTACCAATTCCTTTTGTATTAATTATACAATAAAATATGTTCAAATCAAAATTATACGGAGATAACAATGTTCAAGCTCAAACCAATTTCAGCAACAACAAAAAAATAATTACTATTATTATTATAAATAAATAACAGCAGATGTAAGTTACATAGAGAATATCATTTACCTCAAATGTATATTATGCTCCTTGATCATCACCAATGAAATTTCTTAGTGGCTCATATTTTTGGCGGCGTATTCTAGTAACAAACTATCTGCATACGTGAACAAAAAAAGAAACACGATACAATATTTAATCATTTGCTGAAATTTTTTTGTATAATATTGTACTAAGTTTAGTCTCACATACATTAATGCAAATGCATTAAAATCTTGGTAACTTTACAATTTTTGTAAAAGGATTATTTTTACTTACTTGTATCGGTCATTATTTCTTCATACAATGCGGTGCACTTTTGACGTAAAAAGAATCTAGCTCCAGACTAATTAAGTGTGAAATTCACTTCCTTTGCTATATTATCGAAGAACTGATAGAACATTATCTCTTTCAAGTCACCTGTTTTATTTCATATCCCACGAAAGAATTTTAATGTTTTTCGCAGGTGAACTTTGTCAGTGTAAGAATTGTACATGTACATATTGCATTACTAGTTGAGTTGTAACTTGTCAACAAAAATTGACAAAAGCGCTGTACAAAATGACAATATTTCTATTCAAAAGTGGCGGCCGCTGTCGGCCATCATAATTGTTCCACATTGATATTTCAAACAGTAGAAACTTTTATATATTCTTGTTAATTTATGCTAAAGTAAACATTCATTTATAAAAATAAAGTAATCGGTATTACACAACTACGCAGCTAGGTTAAGGACTCCCATATATACGTCAGTCTATGCAGAGGTTCGGGAGGGCTATTATGACGTCACGTTAAAAACAATACAAATGAATCTCGATGAATAAATACTATATGTTCTTTTTAAAACACACTAAATACTTTCGTTTCTCATAAATGTTATAAAGATACATGGATGTGCAACTTATGTTGCCATAATACCACTTAGCGTATGCAGAATGAAAGCCAGCTTGATCTCGCTGTACTTACTGAGATGACGTCATTTCTTAGTTTGACACGCAGTTTCTCTGTATTTGAGGCGTGGATCAAGCTTTTATCGTAGCTTGTAAAAATAAAAATAAATACGAAACATGCATAGTCAGACAAAAAGAGAGACATATTCTGAAGTATATTAATCCTCATTTTATTTTCAAACTAAATTGATAATGTGTAGACTTTAGATATAGCCGTAGGGAGCACATTTGTACAGTAACGTGCTAGAATGAGGGGTCCAGCCCCTTGAAAATATTAAAAGTTCAACGATATCCGCTTCACTATAAATTCTGAATTTTTAAACACATGTAGCTATTATTCCTACTATTCTGAAAAGTGCTGGGAGCTGGTTGTACATTCTTTATTTATTCCGTAATCTAACATTATTCCAATGCGTATTACATTTTTGTTTGGAGTTTATAGAAAGACGGCTAAATTTTAAACAATTCTCGAGCATGAGGAAGTTGCTCCCAGCACTTTTCGGGTTAAGGAATTTGTCTCAAAGAAAACAAAATAAATTTTATAGCGGAAAGATGCCTGTATATCGTTGAACTTTTACGATCTTTGTAGTAGTACATATATGGTCCAATTTTAAACCTGTCACGTGACAAACAGCTGATGTAAGCGATGTCACTTTGGCCAAACTCAGCAGACACCCGATATATACAAATGCAATCACCACAATTCACATTTATCAAAACTACTGCTGTTTAAAAAATATGAAAATTGTATTCATTTTCCCTGAATATATAAAGGCGTATATTTCATGGGCGTCCTTAACCTAGCTGCGTAGTTGTAACATATTTTTTAAAAATGCGCATGCTCAGATGTCATCTTATGAATTGCACAACCTTGCGTCAAAAATCTATAATTGGCCCATCCGCCAGTTTTTAAAACATCTTTAATTGACCCTCCGCCATCTTTAAATACATCCAAAATAAACATCCAATTACGGGAAGGTATATCTGCAGCAGCAAGTAACGTTCTTATGTTCTGTTTCGGATTAGTTTTGTGATAATTTAGGTGCGTATTTTTTGCGAATTTGCATTTAATTTGAAGTAAACATTAGTCTACGTCTGGTTTGTTTACACCTATAAATAGACAGACTCAGTCAATGTAAACATGGCTGCGGGACGGGTAAAAGTGGTGATTCTGGGACACTCGTTTATACGCCGTTTGCGAGATTTTGTATTTGCAACACCGGAATATTTACAATTTGCGGCTATATACTTCACATTTTCTGTGGAATTTCGAGCAAGAGGAGGTTTAACCATCAGACAATTAGCGAATTGTTCCAGTTTGATAAAATTTGTGGACCAAGATGTGTTTTCTACAAATCGGTAGCAATGACTTATGTGATGTATCACGACTAGTTAAAAACATTGCAAATGCAATAACATCCTTCGCCTCCTTTCTGATAATTACAGGAAAAGTGAAAATCGTGATAATTGGCCAGGTGCCTTTTAGGTCATCACAAGTGACAGATCCTTGGTACAACGACAGAGTGACAGAGCTGAATGTGTTGCTATCCCTGTGCATAAATTCAGACACAAAGTTAAAAGTTTTGGCATCACCATGGTTTCTGGAGTGATCCGAGTATGTCTCACCCATCACCTTATGGTGTCCACCTACAGAATCCCAGAGAAAATGCCCGTCCCATGCAGAAATACGCTCAAAGTATCAAAAGTGCAATACTGCATTGTGCCCGCACCTTCATGCTCAGATAGGTAATGTAAAGTTTATCTGTAGCCAGTATAAAATTTATTCAACCTTAATTTTTATGGTGGTATGTTTATGTGGTATGTTTATGGCATAAACTAAAACCATAATATCTTTAATTTGCCATAATTATTTCAATTGCCTCAGTATTATTTAATGCAGTGCATGTATATCCTGTTCCTTCAAACTATTAAAAATGCTATATCAATTCAGGTTAATTTGCATTCTGAATTTATTCATGTCAATTCTTACTTTGGCAAACAATGACACTACCTATCATTTTTTAACAATTTTATACCATGTCATTTAGCTTGGATTCAATTTCTTTCAAGCAATTATGTACCATATCAAGTATGGCAGACACAACTTGTTACTGTGCATTTTTACGTCATGTCAATTATGGCGGATGCATTTGTACTCAGCATGTTTACACCATGTCTATTATGGCGGATGCAAATTTTACAATGAATTTTTTTACGCCTTTCAATTCTGTCAATTAGTTATTCATCACCATGGGTCCAAAAAGAAAACAAATCTCTTCTTCAACAACTTCTCAAAATGATGTGTCAAAGCAAACCAAGCATACTTCAAATAAGCATCTCAACCTGTGGACAATCAATTTAACATTAATTATGATTTATTAGCTGAAGTCATTTTGAAAAAAACAGCAAGCTGTATATGTCAGTCTACTCAATGACTCACCCATGCAACAAACCGTTAATCCTACTCAAGATTCATCATAAGTTGATGTTACTGAACCTGCTGTCAGCACCATTTCTCAAACTTATCTGACAACCCAAACAGAAGCAGCAGGCACTTCAAATACACAGACACCGATCACAACAGAACCTCCATCCACAAGTGTCAACCACACCAACCATTTCTCATCTTTTCGCATGAACTTTTTGCAGGTGAGTTAGGGGCAAACTCTAATGCAAATGTTACTACAAATCCACCACTATCAATAGATGAGGGTATTCCCCTAGGTGCAAACACCCCTCACAGAATCAGACAAAAAATTTGGTCTGATCAATTTTTTGACAACCGGTCCCTGCTTTACAATTACAAAAAAAGCACTGTCTCCATCCAAATTAATCAAAGTTCTATAAGTTTCTCAAACCAAGCTGCTTCAAAATCTCCCACCTCTTTGTCAATAGCAGTGGATAACAGCATTCCACATCTTCATGGCCATCTAAAATGAAAAGAAACCAGAAGATGCCTTTCATTTATTAAAATATGCTTCAATTATTAGAGAAATTGCCGCCACCAATGGCGCAGCATGGCGTCATTACGATGAAACATTAAGAAAACTTCGCCAGTCGCATACTCTGCCTTGACAAAGAACCGTTTCAGAGCTTGCACCATTCATCCTTTAAAGCAGCTTTTTCGAAACAATTTTCGTACCAAATTTAATGACAAATCCCCCCAAGTGTGTTTCAACTTCGACTTCAACAATGGCACCAAATGCAGATCAAACCCTTGCATCTACAAACATGCCTGTCAATCTTGTGGAGACTCAAATCATTCACGAATTAAATGCTCAAAAAACCAAACAACCAATCCAAAGTACCCAAAACAAAGTTTCTACGCCAATAAACGTTCCGAATCTAATTCATGAGTTCCAAGGTCGCCCGAGTGGCGCAGTGGTTAGAGCGTCTGCTCTTCAGTCGCGAAGTAAGTTGATCCTTACGTCGCGGGTTCGAATCCCACTGTGGGACGTGGAGACCGGTCCTTCTGATGAGACCGTATAAACCGAGGTCCCGTGTCGCAGTAGGTGCTGGCACGAAAAAGATCCCTCACTGCTAAATAGCCGTAAGTGCCGAGTATAGGACAAAATTTGCAGCTCTCCACCGGCAAGTGGTGGCTTCTCCATATGAGTGAAAAATTGTTGAGAGGGACGTTAAACAACATGCAAACAAACATGAGTTACAAGATTATGATCAGAATCTTTCTGCCTATTTGGTAAATAGCTTTCAGTTTGGGTTTAAATTGGGATGTGTAGAAGAACCAACCTATTGTGTTCATAAAATTCATAACTCTGTTTTTAAAAACCCAAGTGTAGTTCAAGAAAAATTAGCCAAAGAATTTACACTACGTCGAATCTCTGAAGCTCACAAGCAAATACCATTTGAGAACTATGTCTGCTCCCCATTGGGATTAGTTCCTAAGAAAACACCCGGAGAATATCGCATAATTCATGACTTATTTTTTCCAAAGAATCAGTCAGTCAATTCCTATATTCCAAAATGCAATTATCAAGTTCAGTATGAATCTATTGAACATGTCATTCAATTAATCAAACAATTTGGCCCGCATTAATTGATGGCAAAGATGACAAATGCCTCCCAATAGGAGCCAGTAGCTCTTGCCAGATTTTTGAAAAATTAAGTACAGCCCTTCATTGGATAATGATTCATAAATACAATGTTTCAGATA